ATCTCTCCTCCCTCACCTCCTCTTCAAAAAAGACCCTCTCCCCAGACTTCAACTTTCAACCACAAGCATCACCAAATCCTTCCAATCTCTTGCATTCATGTGCACCCTATAGTTTGATACAATACTATCGTATAACATATAGTTTAGGCCAAAATGAAAATATCGAGATCACCGAGTCTTCTCTGCCTTTTCGCTCTTCTATGTGCCAATGTAGCTTTGGCTGAAAACAAACCAGTGACCTATGATGGCCGGTCATTGATTATCAACGGAAAGAGAGAGCTTCTCTTCTCCGGTTCAATACATTACCCTCGTAGTGTCCCTGAGGTAAGAGTTGGTCATCTTCTTTTTCTGGCTACTGTATTAGTGCTAAATTATGCTACTTTTCTGATGTTTATATGTTTTTTCTTCTTGTTTGGATGATTAGATGTGGCCTGACCTTATTAGAAAAGCTAAGGAGGGCGGGCTCAACGTGATTCAAACTTACGTGTTTTGGAATGGTCATGAACCAGAAAAGGGCAAGGTAGTTGATTCTGTTGATAATTTGTGCTTAATGTATCTAGTTTCGCTTTTAGTTTTTGTCCACCTTCATGCGTTGGGTTTTTTTTTTATCCCTTACAGTACTATTTTGAGGGGAGGTTCGACTTGGTGAAATTCGTCAAGGAGATTCAGAATCAAGGGATGTATTGCACATTGAGGATTGGTCCCTTCATCCAGGGAGAATGGCATCATGGGTATAAATTATTTGAGTTTTTATTTGATTCTATTTGTTTGATATAAGTCCAGTGTTTATCCTAATTTTGTCGAATACATTTCAGAGGATTTCCGTTTTGGCTAAGGGACGAGCCTGGCATGGTCTTCAGAACCGATAACAAGCCATTCAAGGTGATACATCTAATAAAATTGAATTTATGTTCATATGGAGAAATAAATATCACCACGTGAAAAATTATAGACATAAGTTCTTATGCGAAATTTTTAATGTGTGCAGTACTATATGAGGAGGTTTCTCAAGTACATAGTCGATATGATGATGGAGCAGAAACTGTTCGCTCCTCAGGGTGGCCCCATTATTCTAGCACAGGTTAAATTACACATCAAATTTCTTTGGTCGCCATCCAATTTTCAATTAATGTGCTTCAAAGTTTTGATGATATGAAATTTTTATGCTATTGACAGGTAGAAAATGAGTATGATATGGTATTAGACGCGTATAAACGTGCCGGTTTAAGGTATGTTAAGTGGGCAGGAGACCTGGCCATTAATTCAAAGGCTGATGTACCCTGGATTATGTGCAAGCAAAATAGAGTCCGACCCTCGGCACCAATTGTGAGATTTATATACAACGTCGCTTTGTCATTTGATTCTATACTGTTCGAGTGCTTATTGGGGAGGGAAAATTGCAGATAAATGCATGCAATGGAAGGAACTGTGGTGACACTTTCAAGGGTCCGAACAACCCAACTAAACCCGTTATTTGGGCTGAGGACTGGACTGCACAGTCAGTTTTCTTCTCCTTTTAGGCATTTCCTAATCAAAATTTTATAACTTATTTTCCTTTCTTTTCTAAATTTAATAGGATATTAATTATTGATGGTCATTTTAGATTCCGAGCGTTTGGAGACCCTCCATCTCAAAGATCAGCTGAAGATCTTGCTTATGGCGCCGCACGTTTTTTCTCCAAGAACGGGACGCTCATAAACTACTATATGGTATTATGTCTCATTTCATTTTTAACTTATAAGTTCACAGACCGGTTAGACTTTTCGACCTGATATGTGTGTTTCTATTCTGTGACAGTACCATGGAGGAACCCATTTTGGAAGGACTGGTGCTGCTTTCATGTTGACCCGATACTATGATGAGGCCCCTCTTGATGAATATGGTATCCTTTTGTTAAATCATTTCCCAACAAACTCATTGTATCTCAGTTTATTCTAATGAGATGATTTTTTTTTTTTCAGGACTTTTGAAGGAGCCCAAATGGGGACACTTGAGGGACTTGCACCATGCCTTAAAGTTATCTCAAAAGGCTTTGCTCGAGGGTGAATACTCGAACGAGACATTGGGAGTGGAACTCGAGGTACAACATTGACCAAGTATTGGCAAATTGGACTGACTACCCTTGTAGTTCTGTTGTTGCAGATAGACTTCATGAGTGAAATTTTTCTTGACACTCTTCGGGGTGTCTATCTGCAACAATAGAACTACAGGGATAGTATGTTCAATTTGGGGACAGTACAGGGGACCTGTCCACAATTAACCCTATTTTCAATTATTAATGCAAGAATGTTGGTTTCAATTGATCATAGGCTCGTGTGTACCAAATCCCTGGAGAGAAAATTTGTGTTGCTTTCCTCAACAACAACAACACGAAGAGGGATGGCACCGTCACCTTCAGAGGGCAAACGTATTTCCTCCCGCGCCGTTCTGTCAGCATTCTCCCCGACTGCAAGACTGTGGTCTTCAACACTCAAAGGGTAATAAACTCAATTCATAACAGGGAAAATTAAGAATATATGCGGGAATAGTAAGTGACTTTGTTCATGTGATTTTTTTTAGGTGATTTCGCAGCATAACTATAGGACATACGTTGAGTACGAGGCATTCCGAAAGAAAAATGTTTGGGAGATGTACACCGAGGAGATTCCAAAGTTTTCAGAGAGCCAAATTATTGGCACCTCACCAATGGAGCTCTTTAACTTGACTAAGGATGAGACCGATTATGTGTGGTACACTACAACGTGAGTAAATATGATTCCCTTCTTACTGAATTTATCATTTTAGACTAGTGAATTTTGATATGTATCGTGACGATTCATTGCAGTTTTAATTTGGAGGATGATGACTTGCCAATGAGGGAAGATGTCCATCCTGTTGTCCAAGTTGGCAGCGAAGGACATGGACTGTTGGGTTTTGCCAACGGTGAATACATAGGTAATGTTTCTGTAAACTGCGTTTTTTTTTTCCCTCTTTATCCAAGCTAGTTTTGACGAGAGGCAAATGTGTATGCTTACAAGAATAATGACATAAAAACAGGAGAAGGTCATGGAAGCAGGGAAGAGCAAGAATTTGCTTACAGTAGGCCTATGAAACTGCATGCTGGAGATAATCAACTTTCCTTTTTGAACGTTGTAGTTGGACACCCGGTAAAGTTTTTGAACAGATAGAGAGTACCAACCCCAATATCTTCTACTCACAATTTGTATGCTTCTTGTTTTGTACTTGAAGGATGGTGGAGCATATTTGGAGCACAGGAAAGCTGGAATGCGCACAGCTGCAGTCCAAGGACTTAACACTGGAACAATGGATTTAACGGTGAATAGATGGGGTCACCAGGTAAATATTTCGAACATGTTAGATTTGAAGACAACTTATATTTTTCACAGGAGTTCTAATGTGTTAATTAACTGAACAGGTTGGTTTATTTGGAGAGAAGCAACAAATATACACCCAAGACGGTCTCTCCAAAGTCCAGTGGAGAGAGTCTGAGAAGAACAAGCAGGTTACTTGGTACAAGGTACAGTACCATCATAATTGAAAAACCTTGTGTGAAAAATATATAGAATGGTTCTCACTTTTTTTTTTTTTTTACTTTTAAATTTTGGCTTCAGAGGTACTTTGACGCACCTCATGGCGTCTCACTTTTTTTTTTTTTTTACTTTTAAATTTTGGCTTCAGAGGTACTTTGACGCACCTCATGGCGACGACCCGGTGTCTGTAAACTTGACAACCATGGGCAAAGGAATGGTCTGGATAAATGGTGAGAGCATCGGTCGTTACTGGGTCGATTACCTCAATCCTTTAGGAAAGCCTTCTCAACATATGTGAGTGTCAATCTCTTAAACACACATCGTAGGTAAATGAGAAATTTGTTTGAACTTTTTTCTTCTTGTAAATATCCAGGTATCACATTCCCCGTACATTTTTAAAGAAGAAGGACAATCTAATGGTGGTTCTTGAGGAGCATGGAGGAGATCCAGAGGGAATAGCGCTTGAGGTGGTGAAGAGAGACAATATATGCACGTCTGCGTCCCAATTATATCATGGAGATGTTGAGCAATTTAAATTAGAGGGTGGAGTGACGCAAAGATTCTATGATCTTAAACCAATATCTGTTCTTCAGTGTGGTCCGAAAAAAGTTATAAAATCCCTCGCTTTTGCGGATTTTGGGAACCCTAGGGGCGCGTGCGGTGCATTTGTTTCTGGAAACTGCACCAGCCCGATGACGACCAGACAAGCTGTTGAGAAGGTAAATTTCATATGCATGAACTTGGGGACAAGTAAACTGATCTGAACTTTAGTTGGAATACTACACGAAATGATTGTACAAAAAAAAATTCAGCTTCTTGAGCTCAACTCTTGAATTTATCTCCTGATCCGATAAGGCCATGTCTGGAAATGGATTAATATGCATTTAACTACTTACACTTTTACGTACGTATATGTGCTACGAATTAATCATGTAATGAAAACAAGTGACCTGATCTAGTTACACTTTTAACATCTGAAAGGGTTCACTGCACATGGACCCCCTATATGAAATGCATGCCTAGAAAAGAATCCATATGCATGACCTACCTACATATTTACATATCATAAGCTAGTTGGGCTAGTATATGAAACGATCATATATAGCAGCCAAATTCTTAAGCTTTCATCTAGCTTTTTCTCTATTGAACCCAGGCGTGCTTGGGCAAGAATTCATGTACGTTGGAGGTGAAGCCGGAGCTCTATGGTGCTGACCCAAGGTGCCCTGGGACAAAGGCCACTCTTGCGGTCCAAGCGAAATGTTCACGTCGTGGGAAAAAGGCTGCTTCTTCTGAAGATGGCAATTCTCAAGAGGCTGGAGACTAGAAACCTTTAGTTTTTCTTTCTTTTGATGTGTTCGTACCGAGGATCTTCGCCTTGTATTTTATCTTATACCGACAACTAATTAACGCCAGTAATAATATCTGGCGCGCGGATGGCTTAGTTAGAATGTGTGCTTTCTTTGTTTAATACGAGGCATGTTTTTTCTTTGAAGAGGAATTAATTGTTGCTTGAGAATTTTGGATGGTGCTGAAATTGATAGAATGTTGTTTGGGTGGAAAGTTGATTTCATTGAAGAATCTATTACAACTTTGAGCGTTACAATAAATTCAAGAAACTAGTCTTTTTATAAGACTTTTAGCACAATGAAAATAAATTACAACTTTTTTTCAAACTACACACAATAGATGTTTATCGCATATTATTTGCGCGGGATCGTTACCGGTGCTAGGGTTTATCTGTGGACTGCCTACGGATTGGATCCGGTTGGAAGAAGTATTGATAGAGCTCCTACTTCACAAAGGAAGTATTCGCTGAAGTACTGATATCGACCAAGCGAAATTAGTACTCTTCTCGAGATTAAGACCAAGCCTAATCTCAAGGAACGGGGGTACGGGGCTTCGGATCCTCCGAAAGACTTCTTCTTTATGCTGAAGTTCACAGGGATCTAGTTAGCCTTCTCTGAAATTCCGTGCTCCTTGACTCCTCAATCCAGCATCACCTCGTCCTCTTTATAAAATTCTAGATCTCTAGAATGAAGGCATTGAGCTTATATTTATAGGGCCTCGGATACGGGTATTATTGGCCTTCTTATTTTGATGATGATTTACAAACAATTTACATCTAATATTATTTGTCTAGTATTTGTGTTTTATATTTATTCTAGGCAAACAATATGTTGGAGGATGGATGGAATCGAGCATTCACGATCATATCAAATGGAGGTTGGCGGAATTATAGAGTGAAGCATTACAATTCAAGTTGAAGATCCAAGTTCAAGCTTCATCCGCAAGATTACCAAGAAGAGCTTATTGAATATCAAGATCATAGCTTGGATAATTTAGTTTAGGTGTTATATTATGTGTGTTGGTACTTTAAGCTCAATATAATATGCACACACATTTTATTGGTTTCTTTGTATATATATGTAGTCATATATATATACAACACAAGTTTTGGATTTCATGTTTATAAATATGAAATTACATATTTCATATTTATTATTATGATTTGGTTTAACTACTTAGATATGAAACAAATATATTTTCATATACATACTCATATGTTTCATTTTCTATTGTATTTGTGAAATATTATTTTCTCAGTTTATAGACTTAACAATCATTATATGCATCTTTTATTAAGTCTACAAAATTATTTTGTATTGTTTCAAAAAATGGTTAAGCTAAAATGTCAAAACTCATATGTTTGCATTTTTATGTTTTGGACTATTTTGCAAAATAGTGATATTTTTCATTTGGGAGGTCCTTTTTGAGAACCAGATTTTGTAGCATGTGTATTATCATGTCTACAATCATTTTTCAAAGTTTTATGTTTTTTGGAATTTGTTTGATATTTTTTAAACAGGGTTTTAAAATCAGAAAACTATTTCAAACCTGTCTTTTTTCATATATCAGTTTGCGGTCGACCGCCACGGTCGACCGCCCCTGAGTCCAGAGACTCAGTATGTTTCTTGATGGCTCGCGATCAACCTTGACAGTCGACCGGATGCAGTCCAGAGTGTTTTGCGGTCGACCGTCTGTTGTCCAGAGCCAAACCCTGGCATTTTTGTTGCTCGCGGTCGACCGCTGATCTCCCAATGGCTAGTTTTGGTACAGAATCAGATTTTTAATTCTTGGGCTTTTTGGTCTTTTCCTTTGGGGTTTTGGCTGAGATTTTGGAAGGCTATATATACCCCTTGCTCTCATCTTTCTTGGACAACAAAGAGAATGTTTTAAAAGAGGTTTAACAAAGTTTTAATCAAGGGTTTAAGTTTGTTTAAAGTGTGTTTATAAGCTTTTAAGCATTTGAATGTTTCGGTTTTGTGAATCAATTCCATAAGAGCTTGAGGAGATCATCTATTGAAGTTTGAGCTTCCAACTATTCTCCCTCCACCTCTTGATCTATTGAGAAGTTTTCTAAACTCTTATCTAGCTTTACATTTACTTAGTTATTTGATTATCATTCTTTAAAGCTAGTTTTTATATTGAGTTTAGATTTGATTATATTATCTCATTGTTACACACACCCACATTAAGCTTTTAGTATTTACATACATAGTATATTGGGATTGTGAGAGATTGTAACATTGAGTTGTGATTAATTAAGTTCTCGCCTTGTATTAGAGAACAAATCATTTGTTGTTACATTGTGAGATTGTAAAGTTTTCGGTGAGCTAGAAAACCGAGTGTGAGGAGTGAACGTTGATCGGTGAGTGTTGAAAACCGACATTGTGAGTGATTGTGTACGTTGATCGGTGAGCGTTAAAAACCGACATTGTGAGGTGTAAACGTTATTCGGATGAGCGTAGAAAACCCGGTTGTGATAGTGGATTTCTCCCCGGGAGTGGGGAGTGGAGACGTAGGACGGAAGGTCCGAACTCCGTGATCATATCGTTTGTTTGTGATTGCATTGACGCATCTTTCTTATGCTCATATCTTATATCACCTTTGTATATTGCTTGTTGTTTATATTGCCCACTATCTAGTTTAGTTTGTTTACCTTTGTGTTCATTGTATATCCTCGCATATATCTCATAGTATATATCATTGCTAGGATATTACTCTTTCTTCATATTGATTATTCTTGCTTGTAACATATTGTATATCTCTCTTGCAAGAATAATTTGTTAATTAGTTTTAATTGGCATAAAATTAGATTAGATTAGCATAAGACCCTAATCACCCCCCTCTAGAGTCTAACAGACGGGCTCTTGGGCTTCAATTCGTCATCCGAGGTGGTCAAGTGCAGGGGGTTTCCCATTATAGGAAGGCTCTGACTTATCGCGAGGGTGTGTGCGACCCCCAGCTCGGGTGGTTGCTCGGGGTTCAGTCACCGGACCCAACCCTCTTGGTGACCCGCGTGTGCGCAGGTCACCTCTCGGTGACCCGTGTGTGCGCAGGTCACCAAGTGATGACTCACGCCCCACGCAGGTTTTGATCTTTTGGTGTTTTTCGACTTTCCCGAACTTGTACTCTCCACTGTTTTACGTATTTGGTTATCTTGTTGACTTGTACGCTTTGTTAACTTATTTCATACGCTCGTTAGCTTCTTTACGGCTCTTGAAGCTGACCGACAAGCGCGGCGAGCACTTGGAGCTGACCGACAAACGCGGGCCACTCGGATAATCCTTCTTGACTCGGATGATGATGTTCATCGTCTTCTCTTTATCTCGATCTGCGTGCGGGAACCTACTGGCATTTTTAGACGCCTATAGATAGCCCCTTCAAAGTATTTCAGCCTCATTCTTTTATAGAGGAGTCTGAAATGCTTTGGATGTGATAGGGCCCCCACCTTCAATCGGTGCAAAATAACCTGTAATTGGCTTTAGTTCTTGACTTCGTTATTTTTCAATCTATTCGGTATTTCGTTGACTAGCTAAAATTCTTCCGGTATTGCGTTTATCGTCTGGCCGTTGTCGAAGTCTCGAATTGAAACTAATGTGTTGGTTTTTTTTTTTTGAACATAGCTCATGTTGTTGAGTCGACCTTGGACTAATTACATTCGTCGGGGATTCATATCCTTTGAACAAGGGTTGATTCAAATCATGTTTCGGTGAAACCGACCTTCAACACCACGCGTTGATCGGCGTTGACTTTCATCGCAACACGTTGACCGACGTTGACCTAGGGTTACACGTTGGTCGGCTTTGACCAAGGATTTTATGCTGACCGTCGTTGACTTTCATCGCAACGCGTTAACCGGTGTTGACTTTCATCACAACGTGTTGACCGATGTTGACCTAGGGGCACGCGTTGATTGGTATTGACTTTCATCGTAACACGTTGACCGGCGTAAACACGGTTTATACTCATACGTCAACTGGAGTTTTAGGAATCGGTTTAGCCTCGTGTACCCGTTGAGGTTGCCAAGTTATCCTTAAGAATATTACACGGAACATTCTTCAGAAACTTCCCGTCAATGGTGAGAAACAGTTTAGACCCGTATACCCATTGGAGTGGGAATACGGGTCCCGAATGCATCGAAGATGAGTGAAAGCGGGCGAAAATACCGTGAAAACCACCGTCAGACCAACCCCGCGTGTGGGTCAGGTCGAAGTGACCCACACTTGCGCGGGTCAGGTCTATGTGACCTGCGCTTGTGCGGGATACCCGATGGTGACCCGCATGAATGTGGGTCACACCTATTCGACCCGCACAAATGTGGGTCATGGGGGTCAAGGGTTTAAAAAACCCAGACTTTTCTTTTCTTCTCCTTTGTCAATTTTGGAACTCCTCCTCTTTTCTTCTTCAAGCTTCGGTTCAGAACTTCTACTCCATCAAAACTCTTCCTTCTAAGGACTCCTAAACCCCAACATCTTTATAAAAGGATTTCTCCACCTTCCTTCTGCGTCCTCTCCTTAATTTCGGTTCAATCCAAGAGCTAGGGTTTCTGTTAGCAGTATTTGGGTTCGATCAATCTCCTGTGGGTTTCCAAGTCCCTTTGCT